TTGGACACTGGCAGCTGAAGATGATGAACTTCTGGCACCTTCTCCAAAGCCAGGCTCCACAGCGAATTTGCAGATGAGTCCACAGCCTGGGAAATGCTCCCAGATTTGGGCATTGCTCAGACTGGCTGGGAACAAAAGGTTCCCCCTGTGCTGGGGCAGATGCAACTTCAGTTGGCTGCCCAACTGCTTTTTGGCAGGGCTGGGGGCATGGGTTGGGGTGATTACAAAATGGGAGTTTGCTCCTGGCCCTGCTAACAGCCCCCACCACCCAGCATGGCCTGGGCTGACGCTGGGGCTGGGGCTGGGGCAGCCAGCCCAACACAAACAAACCCCCATGGTGGGAGCAGAGGTGGGACTCCAGAACCTGTGCAGGGGCTGCTTTGCTTTGCAGGCAAGGAATGGCTTGGCCTGCTCCACTGCCCTTGTTTGCTTTGGGATCACTGTTATTCTGGGGGGTAGTTCAGGAGGGGAAAGTGTGGGCTTCTCTCCCCCATGGGTGGGATTTTCCCTAGCATGTGGAGGTTGGGCCTTCCTCAGACCCCTGACAGAGATAAGAGTTGTTTTCTTGTTTCCCCATGTCTCTAATCACTTTTCAACAGTTTGTTGTTTGTTTTTCTAGAGAAGCGTTCAGTGTAAGGTCCAGTCGGGATTGGGAAGTGCTTGGGAGCAGCTGCAGCGTGGATGGGCCGTGCCCTTGGAGAAGGCTGAGGACATCATTTGGGACCAGCTTTTCTCCCAGCGGAGGATGGCATGAGGTGAGTCCTGGCCTGCTTGGCATGGTGGGATCAGAGCTTTTGGGAGATGGCAACAAGCACAAGGAGTCTCCTGCTCTGGGCAGCTGCTGAGGGCTGGATGTGCTGTGGCTGGCTGTAGGCTGGGAATGTCCTGCCCTCCTGCTCTGCTCCCAAAGGCAGCAGTGATGGGCAGCTCTGGGCACGGCTCTGGACACAGCCAGCATGGCCTGGGCTCTGTGGGCAGCTGGGACAAGGGGACAGGAGTCTTCAGCTGACGGGTGGTTTCTGGTTTCTCTCCTTGCAGCCGGGCTCTGCGGGTGCTGAGGCTGCTCTGGGCTCTGCCAGGGCTCTGCTGGGCTCTGCCCTGGGCACAGCTGGGCTGGCTCTGCCCTCACATTGCTCTGACAGCTTTGCATCAGACGAGCCCGTTTGAGCACAGTGCCTGAGCTTTCTCCTTTGGCAGGTGAGTGAGACTCTCCTGCAGGCCAGGAGATTGCAGCTGGGGACACACATCCAACTGGCAAGGACCCAGACTCGCAACAGTCCCAGCTGAACCCCTGAATCTCTGTAGGAATGCCTGGATCTCCACTATTCATTCTTCATTTCTTTTTGGCTGGAATTGTGCAGTTGCACTTTCTTCCTCCTCTAGAAGTGCCATGAGTGGCCAAAGCTGGCAAGTGAGCTGTGTTCCTGAGGCAGTGCAGTCTGGAGCTGATGGATGGAGAGTTGCCCTTCCCACTTCCAAACCAGAGCAAAAGGCCGTAAGTGGGATTTTTCATCTGTAAGAAACCCGTGACAATTTCAGAGGGAATGTGCAGCTCATTCACAGAGTGAGAAGGAAGGTCATCTTCTAAAGGATTTGGGGTTTGACAGAGTTTAGATTCCCAG